TTATGAAGTCAAGGCTAAATCGTGTTGCTCGATACAATTACCTTTTACTGCAGTATTTTCAATATTTTTGTGAATCATTTATCATCTTATACATCTTATACACTGAAAAGTGTATTTTCGTAAGATAATTTACAGTCTTTTACGTTAAAATAATGAATTTCTCCTTTAAGTGGGACATTGAAGTCATGTTTTGTTCGTACAGTTATCCTTTCTTTTAAATCCGGATTACAATATATTCTCCGAACATTTTATAACCTGAAGCCGTATGTGGTATTACTGGTTGCGACATGACAGTCTCACATCCCTGGTCGGTGAAAGCAAACAGATTGTAAAGTGAGCGATTACGATGCTCCCGCGCACCTCATAAAGCTACTGTGGACGGAATTCGTAATAAGTCCATCAATATTTGTAGGTGCCAATGCTAAAGACACCATTAACACTTGAATGTAAAAAACTATGTTATCGATACAATATTTATACAAAAGTTACGTCATACGAACAATCTTTACTGATTAATGTTATCCTATTATATTATCCAATACTGATAACGTTTTATTTCTGATATATCATCACAACTTACAAAGTGTATTCTGGAAATCTTTAACTGACTAAAATATAGACATAACACTTACAAGCCACGATCATGATGAAATAGTACACAAGAGTATTTTAAAACACATCACACAATACCTGGGTACTGTACGTAGCAATCCATTAAGAAGCCGTCAACTCGATCATGCGCAGGATTCGACGGCAAGGTCGAAGTTGCACGACTGTGCACCGCGACGCTCAGGCAAACATTGACAAAGGCCCGGCGAAGCCCGCCACGTCTCTATTACCACGCACTAACGAACACTAACCAGCAAATGCCAACAATAAACTATTTCAGCAAATGCAAATATAACTTTGTCTTTTGTCACAAGAATATGAACGGTGCTCCAAAATACACCTATTGAGAAACACAATAAGGTGCCGATTGCAATGTCCTGACGACACACACTTGCAAATAAGGTGTGATTGACGGAAAACTAACGGTAGACGAAACCAAAGTTATAGATGTAAATGGGTCACAGGAAAAAGTGCTTTGAGACTGTGGTGTAGAATTGAGTTTAGCTGCAGAAATATTTTTGCAATGTATAAGTACAGCGCAACGAATGCAAGGTGACCGAGGAGATATTGAGTTTCTTCATAGATCTTAGAGATACAGCATTCAATATGAATGGAAGTTATGTACGCAGATTGCAACGTGTTGCAAGGTGAGCTCCTGGGAAACCTATGAACACTATTATCCACTGGCTCTATTTATTATAAAATTAATGACATTAATAGTCAGCAAAATAGTTTAGAGCAAGAACATAAACGACAAGAAACTAATTTCATCGAAAGCTAAAAGACACACAGTTAATAAACAATTTCACACTACACAGTTCACATGAAGACCTTATTGACGAGACTACTCAAGATAATTAAGCGAAACAAGCTAGATGGATTAACAAGCGAAGAGAATATGATATCAGAGGTTATCAAGATGAGGTCTTGACCGCAATCAAACAAATGAAGTCATAATAGAAACTCAGAAACTGAAATGAAACGGCCTTGTTTAGAAACGATAAGAAAATAAATAAAAGAAGATAATAACTTAGACTTAGAAATAAAAATAAAAATATACAATGTCGAATATTATTGTAACATTGGCCGTTATACGATTATGACCATTTTTATAGATCTATTAGCTTAGATATGCAAGAACGATGAAAGAGCTCAGAATATTAATATTTAATGCGAAACTATTAATAGAACAGTTACAATATCCATGAATAAAACTGAAGACGCAGTTAACATATCAGGAGGTTGACACTGAAATAATAGGTAGGTACTTTAATCTTAATATTAGACACGTACTGGATTACAGATGTAGAAGTTATCAGAACTGAAGTGGATGCTGAAACCGTTGAAAATTTATATATCTTGTATCTTCTCATCAAGAACTAATCTAAGTTTCCTTGACAATAGGATGAATACAGCTCTATTCTTAATCAGAATATTTCAGAACTAAACCAAAACAAAACCATTCTAACCTATTTTTAAAAGATAAAGCAAAATTCGACTCACTAATAATACCTAAAACAGCTATTGAATCAAATTATGAACACGAAATAACGCATTAAAAGTTTTAAAAGTAGAAAATAGCATAATTAGACCATCTAGCTTCATAAGCTGATCATAATTCAATCACGCAACGCCATAACATACCAATTTGTGAACGACGGTTGCATATTAAGCCTAAACCTAAAATAATTATGCCGGAACTTATTGCATGAACGAAATCATTAATAATAATACTGGCTTACGTATATAACAATGAATGAATAGTTTTTTTCTATTCTTTTAATATTGCACTTTAAAAGTTATATAAGTTTTAATTAATGTAGTCACATTGTTTGATGTTTTATGGTGGGGAAATCCGAAGTGAAATTCGTACTATTGTTCAAATACTGACTTGCTAAAGCCGTCGATTCCTTTTGCAAACATCTTTGACAGTTGTTAATGGACACTTGCTTTTGAAGACAAAATGACGAGTGGTCTAGTCACCATTATGGCAGTTGCTTTACGAAACATATTTAAGGCACACTGCAATGCAATATATGCTAGTTATTAAGAGCAATTTTAAAGAGCCTCAAGACTCGTCAATCAGTGCCAATCACAACTCAGTTAAAAAGAAATAATGAAAAAATAAACGCCTGTTTCAATTGCCCAGGTTTTCTCAATAACGTTTTGGCAATGTTGTATGGCATTATATTCGAGTTTAAAGTCAATTGTACCGCGGTCTCGCTGCCAATTTACCGTGTCCTTGCCAGATATATTGGCATAACAAGAGGCACTTTTTGCCAGGAGTTGCGCAGTGCAGTTGCAACACGAGTAAACGAACAAAATGGCCGTTTAAATACTTATAAGCGCCAGCCCATCCAGCCCTTTGGTGACCTACTCACGAATTTAACAGTTAAATATAGAACTAATCCTCTTTTGTTTATGGTTTGAAAAAAAAAGTAAAGATGTTGATGAAGTTTGTATACCTGTTTTGTGAACTAATATGAGAAGTCTATTCTGGGGTTTTCTAATTTAGTTCGGTGTCTAATAAATCTAGTGGTTCTGATGTGGAACAATTTGTTTTGGTTGTATTAAGTACGGTTAGATATTGCGTAATGATTGGAGTATTAATATTGGAAGATAAATTGTTTTTTTAATTAAAAAAGACTTGTTGAGATACTGCTTTTTATAGAAAGCAGTTTTAAATTACGGGATCTGTATCAATAATGGTCACACGAATTCAATCTTGCTTAAACGAAAGGTGTGCCTTTACATCAACTTCGGTAACTGTTAACAAACCCTTTTGACATTCACCCACGTTTCTGATTCATAATTTCGCCAACTTTCCTATTCTATCCGACCATAATGCTGCAAATTAACCTCAACAGTGGGCGAGAGACCACAGAGGTTATATTATGGAAGACATCTACAATGTACCAGTGCAGGATTAATTAAGTGACGAAGACTAAACTTCGTGAAGACGTGTTTTGTTGTGGAATCCGGTTGTAGCGTGACATTTTCAAAATAGTTTGTAGAATTACATTTTTAGAAGATTTATTTAAGTATTTTGGGTATTCAATCAGTTCTTTCTGTATGTGACTTTGAAGTTGCTTAAGGTTAACGAAAAACATGATCGAAACATCGGAAACTTATTGGAACGAAATGAATCGCTTTTCATGGTATTTTTGAGTACTTATTTTATAACTTTACATTATTATATTATTATATCATCTTATTTTATCTTACATTCTCAATTTTATGTGCAATAATTATCAGAATCAAAAGATTACCTTTGCGACCTTATTATTTACCTAGCTATCTTATTGACAGTTTAGTTTTACACTCTGACATTAATTAATCTTTGTCTTCAACGCTTAGGGAAAATGGCGTACTTTGAAGATCTGGTGTGGAGTTGCTGACAGGCGTAGGAAGGTTGTAGGCGAACAAGTCCTGTCGGGTCAAGTACATTGTACCTACTTATAACTTGGCTATGCTTAAAGGTACTTAAGTTACGTTGCTCCTTACTTAAATAATACTAGAGAAACAAAGTTAAAATATTATTTGAGAAGGTATTTTGGTTTAGGTACTGTGTAGTGATCAATCACTTTACTATGTTTGTACTAACAGTTTATTTAAGTAATTATGCTTAGGTAAGTTAGCAAAGAAGATATTTTTTTGAAAAACCTTTTTGTTATTTCAAAAGATTTTGAGAATAATTGTGTGGTTTATCGCGTGTAGTGTATGTTTGTGAAATTGTTTATTGTTATATCAGACATGCACAGGTGCAGTACTTGTATTTTTGCATGCCAAGATGTAGATTTATTTTAGATTTATTTTCAGTCGATACCTATTTAGGTTTTTTTTTTTGTTTGTACCAATACATATATATTTCTCTATTCAAGATAAGTATTAGGTCCTCAGGAAAACCCTTTAATGTCGTAAAACTGAATGGCTTTCTATCAAAGTTGAGAGAAAATCGGAAGCCGCAAACCGAACGCAACAGGCGTTAAAAAGTAAAGCTTTCCATTCACGATGTTACTAAAACATAAAAATACGTAAGTATTACTAAGTAGTGTTAATAATAAGTCGTACACTAACTACATCTTTTTCTCACAGGACAGCATAAGAAAACTTGACATGTATGCATTTATTATAGTATTTTTTTACTAAACCACACATTCCCATTTGCATCAGAAGACACATTATTCTATTGCACACACAGAAAAATTCTATACATTGTAACAGTAATTTTTTTATTCTTATTATTTTATTATCATTTTAGTCTCAAACATAGATATAACAAAGAAGACTGACAGACTGAACGACTGAACACTGAAAGAATAAACAAATTTCTTTCAAAATTTCTGTGTTCTCAAATAACAACATAATAATTACTTAAATAAAAAACTTACCGACTTCCTCATTCGTGACAGCAGTAGTAGTCGCAGATATGTTCATTTTGAGGCAAATGAATCACTATGATATAATGTAAGTCCGGTCAATACATCACTTTCACACCACTATGTAATGAAGCTATTAGATAAAGTGTTAAGTCACTAGATAGATACTCTATTCAGTTTGACGACCATAGACATCATATTAGGGTAAAAGCACTTGTATGCGTTTGGCTTTAGTAGTAGGTACCTATTTATAGGATGATTTGTGGACATTTATTTTGTCAATAGTTTTTACTAATAAATTGTTTTATTAGTCAGTTGTATGTAATTTGAGTTGTTTATTGTTAGAAAGGTACGGTACAAATGTTTTTGGGAGTTTGTTTAAAACACGTGCCCGATAAAGAACGTTTTCCTTGTAAGTATAGTAACCCACTGATGGAATGAGTCACATCTGATTCACAGAACAGCGAAAGGGTTATTTTAATAAGATTTCAACTGAGCAATCACAACTGAGCTAGTTTTAATTAAGAATTTGGCAGATGAACATTATAAAATTCATCAGTGTCAAAATATTATTCAGTGCCAACAACAAGTTCTTTCACCCTAATAATAAAACCATAGAATAATGAAGCTATAGTTTTAAAACAATGACGCAACGTCATGAATTATTTTGATAATATCAAATCGAGGCCTTAATTGAAAATAATGATAGTTCTTTAACAATTGAATAAATTCTAGTGAACGGGTGCGCATGAGTTTCAGTTTTGAGTTGAGAATATTACATCATAAATCGTTTTTAGTAATGCACGCTTTCTTTATGTATTTATTGGTAATGCAAAAACGTATTTGCTCTGAGAGACTGAACTGAAGGTTAGGCTCTTTTGAGAGCGTAGGTCCATTTAAATAAAAAAGAAACTTTGTGAATTGCCATTGTCTAGCATTCAGATATCATGTTAGCGACAATGACACCATTAAATTCTAGTTAACATTGACATAAACAACTAATATTTTTAAATGGAACACGTTCCAACTTCAAACTACAAGCGAATCAATCACTTGGAACAATTGTAACATGCCAGTATCAGAGAATTCAATGTTAGCGGTACTCAAGACGAACTAGAATGTCCGCCCGTCCCGTTAGCCTGACAAATGTAATTAACGGATTATCTGTAAACAACAATAGAATGTCGGTTAATAGCAATTAAAAGCAAAGAAATACTTCTCTTTTGACCAAGAGTACCTACATATTTTTGCTTCGGAAGCCAATACAGAAGTAAACTTTTTTTTCATTAAGTGTAGGAAATGATGATGGAATTCTACCTAAGGCCGTATGTGTAAATGTGATATGTCACAGTGATTAGCAGTCTAACAGTGTGTGGAAGTGAAACTGTCGTATGTTACCGTACCGACATGTAGGTATGATAGAACGGGTCTTAAAGCCACTTTCCTACACGACACACAGATTCCTGTGATCAAATTGAAAGGCGTAGACGTTAAATATTAAATTTCTCTATTTAGATCATATTAAATAAGTCCAGCCACGCCTGATAAAAAACGAAATTGTCTGTGCATAAAAAAGAAGGATTTGACCATAAATCAATGAGGATCAAATTATAAAAATAACGGATTCTTTTTCCGAACGACTCGTGTAGCGAAATAAGTGCACAAAAATCATTCTTCAGCATTTAAGTAAGACATTGAACTTTAAAATATTTGCAAACTTCAGCTTAAAATTATAATTTAACGACTAGCAATAACGCAAAAACATGAGTAATTTGCTGTTGACGTCGAGTCTATGATTACGTGTTCGTTTTTTAAATTTGTAATTCGATACAAGTCTAACTGGCCAGTTATTGAGTAAAAAAAGTATCGATTTGTAATGTCTGTCAAGTAACTATCGATTTATAATTTGTAATGAGTATCGATTATGATATAATTGCAGTCAATTGTGACAAGGCGATCTGTTCTGACCTAAAGGAATCAGATCAATGTCAGTTGTTAATGAATAGTTATACTAGCGCCGCTTTAAAAGGTAGTATGACTTTTAAGGAGTGGCTGTGATCTCACGAGATGACTTATGTCTAACGAGGGAGTAATGACCTTCGATTCTTTTGTAAAGCAAGACTTCCAAGGATAGCGTGGTAGGAATTTCAAGAAGTTTTTACTTAAATGATGATACTTAGAAAATTAAGTTTGAAACTTATGGCCCAAAATCTAAGGTTCTAAATAAGTGTGTGTGGAAATGAAACCTTTTTCTTTCATAATTTTTACATATTTACTGGTTTTCTAACATCGTTCGAGCAATTCACTCAAACTACACGGCTCGCATAAATTACACAGAAAAAATGGAAAAAGACAATATCCGACCGCAAGAACGTAAAAAACAACTTTCGCGATGTGCAAAGAAATCTCAACTATTTGTTATAAAAATAATGCTGAGTTATGCAAAATAATGCGTAAAATTATGTGCAACATACGACCTTTTAGCACTGTATATTAGTACAGCCTGAAAATGTTTGCAGACGAATAATTGCATTGCATATGAATCTTGATTTTTTGTTTGCTTATGTAAATGTCATGTACCAAATAAGATGTGCTTAACGTCAGAACAAAGGCATAACAAAAACAAGAAACGGCCAAGTGCGAATCAGAATACAGACTTGGGGCCCCGTAACAACTGCAGTAGGCAGGATAGACAGTATGCATGTGATTAAAATAAAAATAATAATGGTGAACAAAATCATACAAATACTCTTTAATTCAGTAAAACAAATACACTTATCAGTACGTACGATGATGAAAAAGACTAAAATGTTACAACGTTTTATAGAAGCACCAAAAATGTCTACATTCTCTATAGTACAAAGCAGATATGTATTCACCAGCTTAAACAGGGAGAAACAGACAGAGGGGCATTTGGTAACAGGATCCCAATTTGACACGGAACCTCAATAAAACATATTTGGTAACCTCCCACACTGTCTGAGGCGAACAAATATTTTACAGATTAAATTGTATGCACAAAACCAATGCGTTATGCAGAGGTTGAATTTCAAAACATCGGTACTGATACACTGAAGCCAAAAATATGTTCTGTTAAAGACTTTAAAGCTAAGAATTGAGTAGGAATAACAATTCAAGCTGAAATATTCATGTTTAATAACATTTGGATCGATCCTTTATGGAATGGAAGTAATATTGCTTGGTTATTCGTAATTTTGAGAATAAATTTTATAATGTATAGGTCTGGTAATATAATTGTAATGAAATGTGGGTCAACCTCGAGGGAAATAATAAGAGTACCTATGTAAGCACTTCCTATAGATACGTAAGTATATAATGCATAGTGATCATGCGAACAATACTATCAATTTCTCAGTTATTCTGAATAATGTATTCTTAAACTTATTTACCAGAATGGAACGACATCGTCTGGTTATGTAGTTACTGGTATAGTAAATGAAACTGATTGCACATTGTGCATAACAGAATGCTCTTAGACAAAACAATGACACAATTACATGTAAGAGATGACGATACTGCTGAAATAATTTGGTTGGATGACGGTTTTAGTATAATTAAGACATTCAGAATAGGATTGTGATTATTTACAATTGCCGTTGCTGTCCAGTGTCCTTATTACTTGAGATGTAGATAAGAGATACAGATAAGGGTACAAGTCAATGTAATTTTCAAAAAAAATGTTTGTTTATTTATTTATTTATTTAACACTTCATGTATTACTGTATACAATGGCGGACTTAATGCCGAATGGCATTCTCTACCAGCCAACCATAGGGTGATGCAGAGAAGTGTTACAGTAGGTTTTAAAAGAAGTTTGCATCTGTTGAAAAAAAATAAAAAAAAAACGAGGGTGATAAATGATGTACATATAAAGTCCTAATCCTAGTACATAAACTACATACATAAATATGAAACATAAAAATATGTAAATAATTAAATATCTATATATATATATATAAATAAATATATAATGGGTTTATATATTTCATATAATTGTATGTATAAAGTTGTTATTCAGGTTACAAGTGACTTTTTTGATAACTTCCGTATCACACTGCCTCGTTAGCCGAATGGTCACAAGTACGACTGCCATGCAAGAGGTCTTGGGTTCGATTCCCGGGTAGGGCAAAATACTACTGGGTTTTCTAAAAAAATGTTAGTGGCAGTACGGAGTTTGGATATGTGCCCGGTATATGGCAATAAGCTCACCCCCTATTACAGTGGACTTATAACATAAATAGTGAAAAGTGGGTGTTACATTGTACAGTGGCATTAAGTGCCGTAATGTGCACTTCTGCCTACTCCTTCGGGGATAAATGGCGTGATGTTATGTTTCGTATCTCACACTACTATTGATTTATCAAAGCATACCATTAAAAGATACATAAGACATAAGATGTAATTCAATAACCATTATCCCATAAAACAATAACAGTTTTATCAATAAAGAACTTTCTAAGGTTGTAAAAACATTTCCCTACAATTCTTTACGACTGCCATTAGAAATTGGAGTTAATGTGTAAAATCATAAGATACCTTTTCGTAGGAATAAAATTTTTCATTCTGTCTACGATTCAAAGGTGTAAAGCAAGTTCGTAATATTCAAAAACAAGTTTTGTGTCAACATTAAGTAAAAAACAGTGAAAGTGATTATCTAATTCTAAAGGTACTATAAAGGTTCGGTCAAACAACATTTGGACAGAAAATAAAATTCCACAAATTCTTTAGTTTACCCAACATAACTAGAAAGTCTTGCATCGATTTTACTATGAATTCAAAACATCGTGTCAATAGATAATGAATGAGTAGATATAAGATAATGTTAGTTTGAATATAATAGACATCACAATGTTTTCTTGCGAAGTATAGAGTAGAATCATTATAAAAAGTACTCTTGACCCCTCGACCTTTAATGACGGTAAAGGTGAACACATTAAGCCAGAAATGGAATATCTTGATGTAATATTTATTGAGGTAATACCGGCCGAACATACCAACGATGATATAATAACTTTAGAAGCAAACACAATTAGTCAA